CACCTCCAAAATAACAATAAAGCAGCAAAATCAACACAGATTCAGCTGTATCATAGATTTTAAAAGCCATTTAAAAATATAAAACTATATGTTTTTCAATTAGACATTTGGCTTTTTGATCTTATGACTTGAAACATATCCTACATGTCAATAACACTAAGGCAACTTTTTAGTAGCAATATGTTTATTTTGTGAAAAAATGACAAATTTTATGTAGAAAACCATGGCAATTTTTAATACAAGGAGTGCTTATTTTAAATTAGTCTTGGTTCATTAAAAAAAAAGTCTCCTTTTAAATGTATTACTTTGGTTCTTCTTATGACTGAATTATTCATTCAAGTTAGCAAAAATATTCTATTTTGTTTTATGCTCAACAGAAATCTTCAAAATGAAGAAATGATTCCTTTACCATAGTTATTTGACCTACTTTTAGATTTTGATTAAGAATACTTAACCCTATCACACTTATAGCTTACTGACACAATCAGCATGCTTTCTGCTCAAAAAGGCATGATAGTACCTTTTAATAAGTGGATGTGACTCTTAAAAGTTCATTATTCTTCAGCACCCCATGGGAAATAAAGAAAAGAAGAAGTAAAATTGATTGTGACTTTTGACAATTATTAGTTAGAAAAAAAGAGGTAACAATTGCCAAAAAATCACAAAAGTGAGCATGTTACCTGGCTATGACAAAGAGCACACAACTGACACCCAAGTAAGCCAGCAGAATATACATCCAGATATCAGGGGAGAGAGGATTCAGGAAGGAGAAGACGCCTGGGTTTGTACCATTGGGCTTGCGGTACAAAATACTTATTCCAAGTGTCATAAAGGGCTTGGAAAAGTCGATGACCTTCTCTCGAACATAGGTAATAGCCAGTGGAGCAACTGCAAGGTCAGCTTTCTGTAAAAAAGAAAATAAGAAAGAAAAAAGAAAAATTGGTTCTAAGTCACAAGAAAAAAGTCAGTAATCAAATTAAATAAAAAAAAGACTTTACACTTGAAAATCATCTTAGTAACGATTGCACTAAAATTTAATTTAAAGCATTCTTCACTCTGAAGTGAAGCATCTGATTTACTCTACTGCTCATTTCTATGTGCTTCTAAGCATGCACTGCAAATAGATATTTTTTAAAAAACTGAATAAGATCAAAAAACTGAAGAAACTATGGTGTGTGAATTATGCTACTGAACCTTCTCATAATTGTTTTTTATTGTAAACTCTAAAAATCCATTTAATATTAATTACAATTTTCTAAATACCTTGGTCAAATTCTAATAGTAAGAATAACTAGATCAAATTATTTAGCTGGGAATCAAGAAAAACTTTTCTGGTTTTAAACCGTAGACTACAGTTAAAAGATTTTAGTTTTTAAATGGTTAAAACATTGTTAAAATCATCTTTTAATATGATTTTGTTTACTACCCCCAAGTTTTGTATCTATCCCTCTAACTTGTTTTATATTATTTAATGAAAACCCTGGCAGCTTTGCCTAAAATACATCAGGAAATGAGTTTTCGAATTTTTCACAAAGTTGCTAATTTTCCACGGTAGCTTAAAATACGTTAAATTACTAATGATTTTCACTCATCAAGTTATAACCATCTGTCAGGGATGAACTTAAGCTCTAATATATTGCAAGAAATAATTATATTTTAAAATACCAAAGGCTTCTATGATGAGAAGCTATATTGCCACATTCTTTTAATATTCAAAAACATGCAAAGCTTTCAGAGAATAAAGGAGCAATGCTTATTGCAGAGAGCTACAAGAAGACTGATAAAAGAATGAAATTGGCCCTCTACTGTTTTTCTGTTCAGCATTGCGGAAGAATTTACAGAAGAAACTTCTCTTTTCCTATGTGTGTTCTAATGCATTTGTATGTTGGTGCATGGGAAAGGAGCACTCAGATGCTTGGAGAGTGTCTTTGAGAGCAGCTATGGAAGAAAGAAAGACATTTCCCTAAAAACTAGGAAGGAAAAAGATGTTTAGAATTGTGGGGGAAGGCATTATTTCATTTCATATCCATAAATAAGTGAAAATACCAATTTAAGAATAATAGTAAATATTCCTTAAGCATTTGCTATGCAACAGGTACTGTGTTAAGAACTTTACATAAGTAATCACATTTAATCCTTACACAATCCTACTATTATTCCTTTTTTTTCAAATAAAGAAACTGAAACTTTATTTAAAAAGGTTTGAAAGGTTAGAAAACTTTTTCATTGTCGTAGAGCTAACTGAGCATGGAACAAGGGTATAAACCCAAGCTGCTGGAGGCTACACCTATTGCTTAACCATGACGTGCATTTCAGAAACGAGCGATGAAATCAAAGAGGAGCTATCATTCGCTCGTTCACTCATTTGTTTATTCATTCATGAAAGAGTGTAGAGATGGAAAGAAAAACATTAGAAACAAGGCCAGCCACTGAATAGAGTACAGTCTCTCAGATTAAAGGGTCCGGTGCAGAGTTCAGGCAGAAGGAATATTTTCCACATGAAAGAGACAGCACTTTCTCTAAGGCAAAAGGGAAGGAAGTAAAAACGGTTTGAAAAAGTAAACGACCATGTTAGAGGAAGAAAATGATAATTTAAAAAATGCAGACTCCAAGTGAAGAATGGACATCATCAATTATTGGTTTGGCCCCATTTGGGGGTTTTAATAAACAGCACAATTTATCTGTGTGCCTCTTCACCTTGTAATGTTTTTCCTCTTAAGAACATGAGAAGCAAAATTTTATCACATGCAAAGCATTAAGTGGATATGCTTTAAAGTGATAAAAAAAAATTTAATTTTTTAATTGGCAGATATTATTGGAAATATTTATCATGTACAACATTATGTATTGAAGTGTATATACATTGCAGAATGACTAAATTTAGCTAATTAATATACGGACTACCTCACATAGATATCATTTTTGTGGTGAGAACACTTTACATCCACCCTCTTTATAAGTGGAATCTAAAGAAGTTGATCTCATAGAAGCAGGGGGTAGAATGGTGGTTATCAGGTTGTATTTCTGAAAAGTGATAAAATATGTTTATTTCACTATATATAGCAATAAAAGTTAGGAAAAAATTCAAATAACATATTAAAACAAAACCAGTACATTATTCCAAAAGTGTTGTTCTATAGACCGATATTAATAGGACTGACTAGACATACATCAAATTTCAAAATTTACTGAGCATTGCCTAAAGTTAAAATTCTATTTTAAATATGAAAGGGACAAAAGACAAAAATTACATAGTACAATACTTTCAATTATAAAAAAAAAATAGTGATTTGAAACAAAAGATACAAGGTGACACTTCTAAACATTTAATTTAAAAAATGGATTAACAAAATGTGTTACATCCATAAAATGGATTATTACTTAGTTATAAAAAGAAATGTGCTGTCAAGTCATGAGAAGACAGGAAGGAACCTTAAATCCATATTGCTAAGTGAAAGACACCAGTCTTAAAAGGCTACATATAGCAAGATTCCAACTACATGACATTTTGAAAATGCAAAATAATAGAGATAGTAAGAAGATCAGTGGTTGCCAATAGTTCAGAGAGAAGGAGGGGGGGACGAATAGATGGAGCACAGAACATTTTTAGGGCAGTGAATCTATTCTATAGGATGCTGTAATGGTGGACTCAAGACATATATGCTTTTATCAAAACTCATAAAACTTTACAAAGAAACAGTTAACCCTAATGTGAACTATGGACTTTAACTAATAATAAATGTATCAGTAATGGTTCATCAATTGTAGCAAACACGCTACACTAATGGAAGGTGTTAATAATAGGGGAAACTGGGTACAGGACGTGGGAGGAGAGAAGGTATATGGAAATCATACTTTTTGCACAATTTTTCTGTAAACCTAAAATTTCTCTGAAAAATGAATGAAATGAAAAATCAAGAGTAGCTTTTTAAAATTATTATTATTTTTTTAAATTGACAGATAACCTTTTATGTATTTATCTCGTACAACATGATGCACTGAAGAATATATACATGAGGAACAGTTAAATCTAGTTGATTTCAAATGCATCACCTCACATGGTTATTTAATCACACCACGTTGTGTAAATATTTCAAAACATCACATTGTACTCCATAAATGTGGTACAATTATATTTTGCCAATTAAAAGTAATATACATTTATAAAGAAAAAAGAAAAAGAAAAAAAAAGAATAGTTTTAAGAAAAGTATGGCTCCCAAGATGACGTAACCACACTCAGTTCCCACTATTTTTCTGAACAATCATTCAAATACTTTATGGCCATTTCTGCCGCTATTCTGTTTCTGTATTTTTCTGACCAAAATGATCTTCACTTTTCTCCACTATTCAAATTCTATAAGATACATATCTGGTTCTTTTTTTTTTTTTTTAAGTGTAGCCTTCCTCAAATAATCTATCTACATTAATTTCTCTTCAGTGAATTTTTATATCATTTATAAACTGAACCACATAATTTGACATGTAACAATATTCTATGCTGTTATTTCTGATTATTTTACATGCTAAGTCAGCCAAAATGATAAGAAAGTTTTGAATGTTCATATAATTGTAATTGTATTGTCTCAGTTTCTATAAGAGCATAAGCACTTTAAAACCTGCAGGCATTCCCTTCAATCAAAGCACATAGCTCTGAACTGAGAGAATGGTAAAGAATCCCTCCTTGGAAATGTCACAAAGACTCCTAGGCAACAGCTATCTTATTCAACTAATAAGCATTAATTTAATTTTACCATTCCATGAGGAACTCTTCTAAATTGTCCTATTCATCTTTATATTCATAGTGAACCCAGCATCCCTAGGATATTGAACAAAATCTGACACCAAGAAACTGCTTAGTAAATGTTTGCTGAATACAGTTTCAATTTAAATTACTAAAATTAAAAAAAATAAAACCACTCAGAGGATTTTAAAATTAAACCTTTTTTAGGTCTTACTCTAGAAATAAGATTTATTTGTACAATAATACAAGTATAATTCTAAGTGAACTAACCATCTAAGAAGAACAGAATAATTCCTTTTACAGAATACGGCTAATAGCAATCCATTGATCAAAGTCTCACATAACAATGGTAAAAATTATTGGCCTAATTTCTAATGACTTAAACCAAAAATTCGATAACAAAGTATATCCTCATAAATGTCACAATGACTCCAAATTTGATTATGTAGTGAAAACCCTCTTCTTTATGAACTCTCAAGAATTAAGGAACACAGTGATCTTATTTTATAGTACATGATCCAGTCAGTGAAAGATCTCATGCATATTTCTGAAAGTTCTTGCAATTTAACACTGGAAAAACACTTCTAAATATTTCTTTCCCACATGTTGTGAAATGCTTAATCAAATGGGTAAAATAATTAAAGTAGTAAGTGCATATGAAGAAACTGGTAGCATTTTAATCTGATTAGCTAAGATATTTAAGCTAGTTAATTATATATACATATTAAATTTGATGCCACGTATAAGTGATGCCACCCTTTCCTAAGCTCTCCACTATGTATGTGGTTGTTTTTTTTTTTTTTTTTTTTTTTTTGCTTTGTTCGTTTTTGTTTTTTGGTGGCTGGCTGCTATGGGGAACCAAACCCTTGATGCTGGTGTTATAGGAGCATAGTATAGCCAACTGAGTTAACTGGCCAGCCTCCATAATGTATAATGTGAACAAATACTTTGCTTCTGTGTACACTTGCAGAAATATACAGCTCACCTCTATGCACGTGGCACACCACCTCCACCACTGCTAACCTAGTCACACTGCCTTGACTCTTGCCATGGCCTCCAACTGGTTCCTTACTTTTATTCATGCCCAACTGTAATCTGTTCACCATCCAAAGACCAGAATGGTCTCTCTAAAAAACATGCCAGAATATCATTTCCAGTTCAA